GGTATTCAATGTACTCAAATATACATATTCTTTATACGAGAGTAAAAAAAGATTGTGATGGAAAGAGTGAAACCACGGTCCAATGTCTCACAATGGGAAAATATTCACCAATCAAAAACTGTGTTCTGTCCTTTCTCAAACTCAAGATCAAATTTAAACATGTACAAGTGGATTTGAAGAGCTGCCATTTCCCTTGAATTCTTTTCTGTTGCTTTTTTTTTTCATTTTCAAGTCCTAGTTATTTAGTTTTACAGTTTGCTTTTAGAATCTCACGGTAAAAGGATGAAATGGTGCAAACCGCTCCTCAGCCGTCATCTGGAACTTCTGCCAATCAGAAGAAAGTGAGCTTTTAAAGTCACCCCTGATAATACCCCAAGAGAATAGAGAAATTATATTTAGTTTTACTATTGTGATTTATGCAAAGCTGTTAAATCAAATTTCCAAAAGTAATTTGATTTTAAAATTTAATTTACAGGTTGTCAAAAAAATCAAACAAGTGTCTGTGCACTTTCTTTGTAGAGCATGAGTTATCAGAGTTATTTGTGAAAGCAGCTGCTGTGAACAGCCACTGTGAGAGTCAAAGTTGTGAGTAGTGAAATTAAAACAATGAGCTGAAAGATGATAAAACGCTCTGCAGAGCTGTGTCTCCCTGCGGGGATGTGGTCTTTGGATTTATCACCATACAGGTGTTTCTTTTCACATGTCACACACTCATTTGACCCTTTGTTAATAAAACAGTATTGTTAGTGCAGTTTTAACCTTTGGAGCAAAAACCTGAAGGAGTTTTCAGGCACAATCCTGGAGTTACAAACTTTTTAACAACTATAAGCCTGAACTTCCCATCAGATCTGTATGAATGATTTATACACAAACATCGTTTGCCTTGTCTACACATTTATGAATCTGTATTTCATGAGAAAAATATAAATCCCGTCAGAAAAAGCTGAAAACAGTAACGTGTCGAAACATTAACGGGTTTGAGGAGCATCCACATGCAAACATGTCTGCTGCATGGAGATACAGATGCTGAAGAAAGCTGCCTAACCTGACAGCTCTGACAGCTCTGTGCTCCTCAATGCATTATCAGCATCCTGTCCGTTAACTCAGATTAAGACATAGAGCACTTGCTTTTTGTTTCCTTTGATAGTTTGACACTGAGATTTTAATTTAACTGAAGTGATATATACAAAGAAGTACATTTTTCCCCATCGGTTAAACTGCTGCCATGGTTTCAGTTTTTAGAAACTCAATTGTGTCAGTGGTTTAAAAAAAACCCATTAAGTTTTCTTTTAGATAAAAACCTGATTGTAAAGTCTCCATCCAGTTTTATTGACCTTACTCCCTCCTGGCTACATCTTCATTTAAAACTTTATGTTCCTGTGCTCGGTGATGCTAAAGCCAGTCTGCGGTTCTGAACACCTCCATGTTTGTGACAGCTTTCCAAACCCTTGCTGTATTTCTAAAAGGGAAAATCTGTTCAGCGCAGCGAGTCAAAGCATTTTGTCTGTATAGTCAGATTGTATATTCTGCTGCACTGTTCTGTTCCGCTACATTAAGCTCTCCAGTAAAATGAGCGTGACAGTTTGCTGTGTTGTGGTTGTTTTGTCCTCGCAGGACTCACGCAGCGGGATGTTCCTTCTGCAGAGCACACTGTGATTACTCTGCGTGGTTCACCTGAAGATAACACGCAGCTCCCATTGCACCGACAGAGGATACTAAATTGATTATGTGCAGTGAAAACAAAGCAACAAAAACAATGCTAAGTGTCAATCTGTTGTGTTTCCGTCCCTGGTTCCGTGTCGGCGTGTATCCCCACAGGGGCACGCTGGAGTTTTCCTCCCGATTTATTTTACAAACAGCACGGCTGCACTGGTGGTGTTTATACTGTCTATGGCACAGACCGTCATTAGATTGTCACGACTCAGGCCTTGTCTGAGCGATTGAGCCCGTTAGTGTATCAGTTCTGCCGCCTGACTTCAGATGAGGGCTGTAATTGTGTGATGATAAACTGTTGAGACGAGGCCATCAGTCGGTCCGGACCACTGGACCAATATGTGAAATGCTTCCATTCACCTTTTCAGTCACACAGCTTCATGGATCAGATGGCAGCCTTTTGACGCTGATGTCATCTTCGATTCCTGTGACTGGAGGATAAAAGCTGCTGCTGCACTCTTCATCTCTGCCTCTGCCTTCTTATTATGCAGTCAGCCTATTGATATGTATAACTGTGGTTAGGATTTTTCAATAGCTCCAGGTATTTTCATTTGAGAATTATGGATCACACAATACTAACACATCTAAGCACCTCTAAGAGTTCCATCAGTGTATTACTCAATTATAATTGAGTCTTGAAGAAGTGGGAGAACTTAATTTTTTCCTGTGGGGTTATTTCATTTCACAAACCATCAGAAATTGAGTGATACATATTGCTGATTTATGCAGCTGCTCAGCTGCAGCAGTTTGTTCATACTGCTGTATATGTCTGTGCAATCTAAGTCCCTGTTTAAACCTGGTATAAACATCCATCTCTGTTCTTTTCCCTTTTCACTTTTTGCATGTGCACACTAGTCGAGAAGTTTTTTCATTTTTGTCCCACCATAAATGTTTTTAAAGAGATGGCTAGAATGACAAATAAACTTGAAACAGTGGACAGCTGTTTTTACATCAATTCATGCCTGGAATAAGGATATTTCTCCTGTGAGAAGCTGAGTGACCACATGTGTTCAGATCTCACTTCATCTCTCTATAGGCAAATAAACAGGTGAACAACGCCTGTTCAAAAAGACCAAATCATGTGGTTTTTGGTCTGACTGTAATGGGTACCCTATGAAATTGTGTGTGTGCACACGCTTTGGGATATTTTCCAGTATAAACATTGACCTTTTGAGGGACAGTAGACCACATGGGGACCAAAGTTAATAAGGCAAAACGTAATTTCTGAGGTCCTGGTTATTGATTAGGCATGAATCAGTCATTCTTAAGTTTGGTGGTAAGGTTTTGGTTGGGCTAGTCCCAATGATTGAAAGTCAATGCAAAGTCTTAATATGTACAGCTCCTCAAACGTGTGTGTGTGTGTGTGTGTGTGTGTGTGTGTGTGTGTGTGTGAGTGTGAGAGAGAGAGAGAGAGAGAGAGAGAGAGAGAGAGAGAGAGAGAAAGAATGAATCAATATTCTGTGCACAGCTGTAAAATGAAATAAGATATTCCATATCTGAAATTGTCAAATAAATGTAAAAATCAATATGTAGCTGTCAGTGTTAATATTGTGTCAGTGGCCACAAATAAATCAGTGTGTGAAACACAGAGAGGCTTATAAATATATGGTTCATTGTAAAACTGTAGCAGATCAGAGAACAGTCCCTCATATGTGACCTTGGGTCCATTTCTGTTCATGCTGGTAAAAGAATGTGGCCTCATGCGTCCCAGACCACCTCTGAATGAGGTCAAATGTATCATGGGTACGTTTTGTCACGGCTGTACTTAGTGCTGTCCACTTGTGATCGCCTCGCCTGAGACAGATGTTAATACCTGGCCTGAGCAGAACCTCAGGTTAAAGCCCCGTGTTTTCCAAGTGTCCTGCTTGTGTCACACGAGAGGAGTGTGAAACTTAAGACTGAAGTATGAGCATCAGTCATTGCCCCAGTATAGCCACTGGGTCTTCAGAGACCAACAGAATCATTTTACCAGCAACACTAGCAACCCTTTTTATTCGCAGAAGAATTATTGTTGATTATTAAAACGTCCAATGTCAGCGGTATGAAATCCATCATTTTTCTTCAAGAATAAAATCAAATCTGAATTGCCAAGTTCCCATCTAGTTTTATTGACTTTGTTATTGCAGTGTGTAAGGTCCAGTGTGTAAGGTTTAGGTGAAAGGGAACTATTAATTCATTTAATGTAGAATCTTCCTCTAGAATCTTTCACTAGTTCATTTCATCTAAATTGTATGAATTGTAGTTTTTTTTACCCCAGAAAATTCTAATCAGGAAGTTATGCAGAATAAAGTCAACAGAACTAGATCAACCTGCAAGACCAGCAGGTTATAGGTCGACCCACACATCATTAACCACATTATGTAATTGAATTTGAAAGTAGAAAATGAGCATGGTATAAATGGCGTGTTTGCACAGATACAGAAACAAAGCAAAGGTCACACACAAAGTCTGTAAACTGTGATGGCATTGGTTTCTAGTAAAGTTTTGTGATCCTGGGAGTTTATTTCCAAACAAGGGTGAAAATTATTCGTTAAAATATTTTAAACATAAGCCTCACTAACACTGTGTTAAAATTCAGATCATGACATGTGTCCTAACTAGTGAAAGAAAAAGGGTACATTCACATTCACTGAGTTACAGAAGAAAGTTAGAGAAAACAGCAAAAACTTAAATTGTGACTGTTAGCACTGTCGCATCAAGGCAAGAAGGTTACCGGTTTAAATCCTGGTGCAGCCACGGTCATTTTGTTTTCCTCCCAAAGTCCAAAGACATGCAGGTTGAGGTTAGGTTAATTAGAGACTCTTAATTGGCCGTATACAATTTCTAAGGTGAATGATTCTGTGTGTTTTGGCTCTGTGATACACTGGAGACCTGTCCAGGGTGCACCCAGTGTCAGATGGGATTTGGCTCCAGCTCTGCCCAAGACACTCAAAGAACGAGCGGTATAGATGATGGATGTATCGATGGATGGATGGATGAATGTGATTGATCATTACACCTCTGAAAGGGACAGTTTTGTATTTTCAGTGGATCCCAAATGCTGCAGAGCATGACGCAGCATGGGTGTGTTCGGGTGGCATCATTATTATTCCATCATCATTCCATCAGCACCACAGAAAGTTTGGGGCACACAGCAAATCGAATGTATCCTTTGTGAAAATGCCTAATAAGATGTGAACATGTTTTGTATGAATAATTTTCCATATGTTGTTTTATCTCTGAATATGAGTCGTACTATAAATGAATGAGGCTGACTCTCCTTTCTCTTCTCCCTCTTTCTCCAACAGTCTGAAGAATCAGATATGTGTCCAGTGAGCGTGGGACAAAGATAAAAACCAACTACTGGATTGATGTCAGACAAGCTGTGGTCAGCTTGCCCTGCTTATTCTGCCTCTGCCCCGCTTCTGCTATCTCCACATCATCTCTCTCTCTCTCTCTCTCTCTCTCTTTAACTCTGTCTGTTTTGGCCGCCTTGACAAGGAGGAAAATAAAGATTTTGTCATGTTACACTCCAGCACTGTATCAACTCCCAGCTGACAGTATACAGTACAGTTTTGACAGTTTCTCCTCATCGCTGGCTACTCTTAAACCATTGACCCTTGACATTCCACTGCAGCTGCATCCTGTGTTTTTGATCCACTGACATGACAGTGGCTCTGGCACACTGCAGCCTTTCTAAACATGCATGGATTAAATTATACTCTACTTTCCACGGGATGCTATGAGCTGTACGTGGAATTTTGACTTGAGAATATGAGGGTCGTTTTCAACTGTTTTTGTTGAACAGTTGAAGTGGAACATATTTATTTGAAATTAAAAGAGAAAGACACACAGATGTACATTACAGTACTGTATATGATTTAGCGTTGTGGGCTTTGTCTATGAGAAAATGCTTCTCTTTGCCCTCAGATTCTGTATAGCACACACAGTGCAACTTAACTTTAATGCTTTTATTGCATACATGCTTGCAGTGGAGCTAAATCCCCTTACTGCTGAAAGGGGTTGATGGCAATAATGACACTGGTTGGCCTCTTTCTGTACAGTATGTTGGAATGGTCTTATCTTCTATTGGCAGTGCTGAACAGTAAATTACTTCTGTGGCTCATGTAGTGCTTTAAGGAGACCAGTGGAACTGATTAGCTACATCAGCATCTACACAGGACCAGCAAATAGTTTTTAAAACTTTAAAGGAATAATTCTGGCCTATTACAACCAGGCTTTTATTTTGAATGTTTTGGCTATCATTCCTATTGGTAATAACTCACCAAATAAATGTGTGAGCTCTGGGAACACAGTAAGATCACCAAAATAATTCTAATGGGGCAAAAAAGACAAGCAGTCCGATGATCCAACAGGTTGTGTCATATTTATTTATAAAAGTATAAAACAACAGGAGTTGACCCAAAATGTTTACAATCATGGCAAAGTGAGGGGAACTATTGAATATTACTCCATCCATGAACTCATCAATGTCTTGTATGAGTACAGGTTGCAGTAGCAGCGAGCTAAATGGCCCAGATATCCCTCTGAACATCCCCTAGTCCCCCAGGTCTACCTGTGGAATTCTAAGCCCTTCCCACGATTTAAAAAAAAGGGCTTTCCAGTCGAAGGCTCTTCTGAATGTCTGCGAGACGTTCATCCTGAATAAAGCTGGACATTTTTTCAGGGGACATACACATACAGGACTTTGCAAAGGTGTCATGATAATTCATTACCTATGCTTGCAGAGGTGCACACCTGTGCATCAGCCAAAAACGATTTTGTTTGAAAGTTGCACAAATTAAAAGTACAAATGCACATTTGTGTACAGGCTGCAAAAGCTGATTTTCACCAGTAAGTCCAGATTCTGTTGAGACATTGAAACATTTTGGCCACTGATTCCACAATTCCATTCTTTTTGTCTTTACACAGTCTTTGGCCATAGTTGTTCTGGTCGGGTGTTAAATAAAGAGCTCAGCTTCCACTGGAACACAACTTTCTATTACATTGTCTGCATTCCTGCCTCGATCGTAAATTGCATCCAGCCTAAAGGGAGCAGTTCTTTGTTTAATAACCTGACCACAGACTAAGAGGTGCTAATGCTCATCACCCAGTGTGCACTGGAGGGTCGCAGCCTGATGTCACCAACAGAACTGAACAATCTGCAAAAAGTAGAGATGCAGTCCTAAAGGCCTCACTCATCTTTGACCAAAGTGTTTGTTAGATGGTCAAACGATGCTCGAAACCCTCTTCCTCCACAACTCTTCTACATCTGCATTTGTGGATCCGCTCCTGACAATTCCTAACTTGACCATGACCATGCTCACTTTAAGCAGTGATTGGCCATGTGTGTTGAACTGAGTAAAGATGGACATACATTGCGGGACTTTAATTCCCCCAACGTATCATTCTGTGACGAAACGCCCCAAAAACAGGTGTCTGCAATTTGACTGGAAGATTTTGGTTAAGCTATTTTCCAGGGAGAAACGGTTTAGGCTACTATAATGAAAATTAAACACAGGCCACATTCCTCTTACTTTACTTTACAAAAGCATTTATCTCCTTCTTATTCTGTCTTGCTGTGCAAATACGTCCAGCTATAAACATTTTCTACTACTGTTTCTGATGCAGTGAGGGAAAATGTGCTAATTCGGGGGGAATCGACTTATGACTTAGCTTCAACTGTGGGAGAGCCTGACGATGGACAACCAAAGTTTCTGACACGTCAAAAAAGGATGAGACCATTTGACTTTCCATCGGGAGCATCTGATAGCTACCTTCTCTCCCTTGTACACTGCACAACAAGCGACACATGGTGAGGCTAAAAATCTGTCCATCTCAAAAATGTGTTGCACAACTTAGCAACTGCATCAACATTGGGCTGAAATCGCACAGTGTATGCCCACTTTCAGTTTGGTTTGAACTTGCTTACCATTAAAATGATCTTGCTTCGCTATTGGCTCATTAAAGAGACGTCTGACGGATCAAGTTCCTTGTCCCTGCTTGTTGTAGTCATTGCTCCATGCTCCCAGATCTCAGCAGTTTGGTGAGGATATTGTGACAATAACCAACATTATTGATGCTGAAATATGAGAGTCCAGCTGAATTAAACCAAAATGTGGATTAATTCTCCAGATTTCAACAGATATTATATGGTTTGATTTGTTCCACGAATCAGAAAAGAAAATGGAAACAATTTTTCTTTTCCATCTAAAAGCTTCATATACAGTCCACTGTATGTGATCAGTGCTAAAGGCTTGGAAATATTCCCTCTGGTTAAGATGCTTCATTTCAGTATGGTCTTCATCTCAGGGAGGTATAACTGGTTGTTTTAGTGAAATCTAACAGTGCTGTTGAGAATCTAACAGTCACACGTACTGAATCCATTCCACTATGGAGCCTTGTCGAATGTGTTGGTAGATAATGGAGTGAACCATAAGTGTTATGGTTTCACGAAAAGAGTCTTGGTATTGTAGAGTGTATTAAAAGGGTAATTCAGCTTTATATACCCTATCAGTGAAAAATGTTAGAACACCTCTATTTGCAATCAATTCCTACAGGTTCCCCAATTTAGTGAAACATGCCCTCTGATACTTTAAGAGGATAATACATCCTATAGCAACAGAATGAAGCAGCACACAGTTTCACATGATGGAAGAAGACCTCAGTCTCCAGACCCAAGGTCTTTGCACAGAAAAACATTGGATCCATCTTAATCCGGAGAAGCCATCAGGAACAAGGAGAATTTCATCTTCTGATCAAGGAGCTGAGAAATCATCCAGAAGTCTATGTGTAGTCAGTGGTCCGGTTTGGTATTTTGCCAGGACTGACATCACACACTAAAAAGAAGAAAAAACAATTTCCTGTGATTCAATTGATCCTGAACAGCTCAAACCCTCTAGAACAACTTTAACAGATGCAAGAATGATGGACGACAGATGCAAACTTTACATGCAAAGATCTCTAAACCCCAAGGAGCAAGAAACATCCTCCTGCAGAGCCAGAGAGCCCCTGTCCCCGCCCCTGTCCTTCACTGGTTTAGACCTACATGCGTGCAACTTCCTGACCCACTAAGAATCTTCCTTTTAACATCATCAAGGCTGAAATTTAGTACAGCACTTACACTGGTGGCATAATAGTGAATCTCCACTTAGATTTCCATGGTGTAAATAAAGGTCAAACA